ATGAACATTCGTGCTGATGAACACTTCGCTGATATCCCTTCTATCAAAACCCAGCAAGGGGAGATAACCACCAACCCTAAGCGGATTAATGATGCATTCCAATCCTTTTATTCTGAATTATATAGATCTGAAATAACTTTTGATAAAACTAAATATGAGGCTTTTCTTAATGAGCTGGAATTACCATGCTTAACAGAGGATGATTCCAAACAATTGGCTGAGGCTATTACCTTGGAGGAACTTAAAGCAGCGGTCCTCGACATGCAAAAGGGTAAGGCGCCTGGGTGGGATGGCATCCCCCCCAGAGCTCTATTTGACCTTCTGGGACCTTTTGGGCCCGCTGTTGCTTTCCATTATTGCATTTTCAATAGAACAGAGTAGTTTTGCCAGAGATGTTAATACAGCTCTTATCTCTTTACGTCTAAAAAAGGATAAAGATCCATCTGATTGTAGCAGCTACAGGCCCTTAAGCCTACTTTGTGCCGATCTTAAAATGTACGCAAAGGTCCTGGCTCGTCGCCTACAGAACTTTATGACATCTCTAGTTCACTGTGACCAAACCGGTTTCATAAAAGGTCGTCTAGCCTCGGACAATCTCAGGCGTTTGCTGCACATCATTGACGCTAGCAAAGATGATAAAACACCAGCTGCTGTATTATCTCTGGATGCTATGAAGGCTTTTGATAGGCTAGAATGGTCATACCTATGGGCTGTTCTAGAGTCTATGGGATTAGGTAAGGGGTTCATCCATATGATCAGGGCTGCACATAACTGGTGCGCAGGTGCGCCAATGAAAGAGCACAGGGTCATTTGAAAAAAGGCGCATTTGCGCACCAACATTGAGAGAGAGGAAGGGAGAAGAGAAAAGAGAGGAGAGAGAGAAGAGAGGAGAGAGAAGAGGGAAAGATATTTGCGAGTTGCATATGAACTCAGGGCCGGCCCGTAGCACTGGCGTTATAGATGTTCGCCTAGGGCGCCAGATCTGGGGAGGCGCTGCGCTGGCAGCTCTGGGAGGGAAAAACATTTTTTTGACCATTGGTGCTCATCCTAATTTTCGGCCTTGATGTAACAATATTCATAATTAAGTAAATGTAACACGCTTTTCACCCCGGTTACACGTTTAATTTGCCCTGTACGATGGGCGCTGTAAGTGATGAAAATGGGGGATGTTGGCTTATCTGGCGCCCGCAGCTCACAGCCAAAATGCGAGTGAGCGAGGGAGAGAGGGAGGGTGCACCGGTACCGGCGCTGTTATTAGAATCTGGTGCTATAGCTGCTCTAACGCAGTGCTTCTCAAAGTGCGAGCGCCCCCTGGTGGTCCGTGAGTATATTGGTAACATTTCACATTTGAAATAAATGCAAGTTTTCCGCACTCTCGCGGGAATATCTCCGCAATGGAGCGAGCTTAAGTTTCACTTTCGATTGCATAATATAGCCCAGATAAACACCTTCATCACACATGTGTACACTTGTTTGTACCATTTTCAGGTGATTTGTAAAAAACGATGTTGTTTTTGGATATTTGTGGAGTTGGGTGGTCCGCGAGTGTTTTTGTATTGGTTAAGTGGTCCTTGGTATGAAAAAGTTTGAGAAACACTGCTCTAAAGGATATAAGAAGATGTTTCTACAATGATGTGGAGGGAGAGTCCTCTCCAGTCAGATAACTGATAACTATAGCTCAGTGAGGTAAAGGACTCTGAGTGTTTAGATAGTTCACTTTAGTCTAAGTTCAAACGATTTGGTCACAATTTATGTAAACGCATATTTCCAAGGCACTCCTTTATAATTATTGGGATAAACAGGTTTGAAATCATTCCAATGTATACTATAGGACAGTAACCAAAAATATCCTTTAAAACTGGAGAGATAAAAAAAAATACATAAATAAATGTTAAGGTAAAATAAGATATGAATGAACAACACAAATAAAATAAGTTACATTAATTTGTTATTGGCTATGGTAGGTTATTGGTTATGTTCACATACTTATTTGATTACATCCACTTTTCTAAGATGACAACAGAGACTTTCGACCCAAAACCAGCTGTTGACTTGTGGATGCAAGCATCTAATCGCAGACTCAACCAGAGAGAAAGAAGTAGGCCTACATCATCAGCTACCATGTCTGACAGTCAGGAGGGTAGTGATGACAGCTTGTAGGATTACTGCTCGTGCTAATGTTGTCTTGTGTTCACCTCTGTCTGCATGTGTGTTCTGTGTTCACCTCTGCATGTGTGTTCAGTGCCGTGTGTCTGGCAAATAAAGTCAAGACCCCCTCAAAAGTTACGGTTTATTTCATTTTAAGGATGAGCACCAAGCAACATCTCCAGGTGCTCCTTTGAGAACCAGGGCAAAAAAGTTATGTGCACCCCTGCATATGATCAAAGTACTTTATTCTGCCCCTTCAGCAATGATTTTAACAGGCAAAACTATCTCGTCGCTTTTTTCTGTAGCAAGGTCATCCAGACAGGGCTGCCCCTTGAGTCCAGGGCTCTTCGCCCTCTCGCTCGAGCCACTGGCCCAATTTATTAGACAATCACAGGATATTATCCCCATTTCTATCCAAGGCTCGCTTCATCACATTGCCCTGTATGCGGATGATGTACTGATTTTTATGCGGAACCCCTCAACGTCTACAACTCGTCTGCTTAGTGTAATAGAGGAATTTGGCAACCTATCAGGTTTTAAGATTAATTGGCCCAAGTCTGCCTTTTTGCCTCTCAACGACGCTGCCAAATCAGCTATTCTCCCTGCAAACATTCCTGTGGTAGAACATTTCAAATATCTTGGTATTGAAATATTCCCAAACCTTAACAAGACTATAAAGAATAATTATACAGACACGTACAACAAGGTTCTCCAGGACCTCAATAGGTGGTCGAGCCAGCCCAACTCACTACAAGCCAGAGCTTCAATAATTAAAATGAATATACTGCCTAGAGTTACTTTGATCAGTTCAATGCTTCCTTTATCGCCCCCCAAGGGTCATTGGCAGAAACTACAGTCGGCAATTTCAAAATGTATTTGGAACAACAAGCGGCCTAGACTCAAAATGTCCACTACTCAACGAAGGAGGCTTGATGGGGGGCTGGCAGTACCAAATTTTAAATTGTATTTCTGGTCCTTTTCATTAAGACCTTTGATTAATTGGTTTGACCCCCAAGCTGTGGTTTCATGGCGGGCTTTAGAAGAGAAGTTAGTCTCCCCATGGAGACTTCAGGACATAATTTACACAAACATATCTATCAAACAATGTCAGCTTAGGTTCGGCCCTCTGATTACTCATGTAATTCAGACTTGGCGAAATGCACAGAAATTATGCGCTATTCAATGCCCCTGGCATCTCAATTCGCCAATATTTAATAACAACCAATTACTCATAGGGCGGAGGCCTATTAATTATTCCCAATGGGGGAGGAAGGGTCTTCACACCTTGGGAGATATTTACAGTGACAGTGGTCTCCGCTATTTTCAGGATCTTAAAGGCTGTTATGACCTTCCAGGCACCTCTTTCTTTTTTTATCTACAGCTTAGGACAGTCCTCAAGGCTTATGGGGTCCCGTGGGATCAACAACTAGCACGGCATCCATTCCACATACTCATCACTGATAGAAGAACATCCACGGGCTTTGTCTCTATGTTTTATACTCACCTACTTGAGTCCTCTTATGGTGACCTTCCCTTAGATAGACTGTGGAGGAAGGATGTCCCATAATTGAGACCTGATTTTAACTGTGATTCAGTCTGGGCTAACATTCGTCAGGCGTCTCGCAATCCCGACCACCAACAAATCCACCTGAACTATGCGCAAGGGGTTTCACCAACTAATCGACTAGTCGACTACCTTTACCACTATTCGGCGCTGTAGGCCCTAGGGCCTAGTCAACTAGTCGTGAACAAAATGGAGGTAAACGAGGTGCTGCAAAATGCTCCAAAACATGTCCGACATTCTTATGTATGGCAGTACTTCAACAAAGATGTAACCAACTCCACAGTGAAGTGTCAGTTGTGTACAGCTGTACTGAAGTACAACAAAAATACATCTGCTATGCGCAACCATCTGAAGATGAGACACCCGCTGCCGACAGCTAGCACTAGCAGTAATGCTAGCACCAGTGAGCAACCGGCACAGGACAGAGGCAGACGAGCAGCAAAATAAAACGGGTCTACAGTGATGCGGATGATGAGCTACGGGATTACTGCCAGCGGACACTGCATATCCCCACAATGAATAACCCACTGGAGTGGTGGGCAGAAAACGTGCACCGCGTCCCCCGTTTAGCCAAGCTTTCGAGGAGCTACCTGGCTATTCCAGCCACAGGCACCCCGAGTGAGAGGGTTTTTTCCCTGGCAGGCAACACTGTCACCCGAAAGCGGTCAAGCCTCCTTCCCTCACATGTCGATGCGTTGGTGTTCCTCAACGAAAACCAACAATCTGGAAAGGTGGACGTTATCGTGGAGGACAGCGAGTAAATTGTTGCGCAATGCGCTGTTGCGCACTGGATTTACGTGGCATTTCTGTACAGAGTTTTTTGCTGTCGATTTTGGTGAGTCCAGTTACTGTTTGTTATTTACTCAGCCATGTAACACAAATTAAAATGCAGTGTTTAATGTAACTGTATGAGTTCCAATATAAAATACAGTTGTACACCTCTCTTTGTGTGTCTTTATTATGACGTAACGACTAGTCGACTGCTATTTTGAAAAACGTGTCGACTAGTAAATATTGGTAGTTGTGAAACCCCTACTATGCGCATAGAACTTACCTGACACCCAGACGGCTGCATATGATGGGTCTTCTGGCAGATGCTCGGTGTACCCTGTGCTCCATGGGGGCTCCTGGTACATTTCTCCATATGTTCTGGGAATGCCCACCTGTTGCTCGCTTTTGGAACGGGGTCTCCTCTAAGTTGTCCGACATATTTTCTTTGACTGTACCTGTATCTGTGTCTTTTTCTTTTAAATGACTTGTCTCAGCTGCCGGCTACTGAGTACCAGAAAATACCTCTCTATGCTGGCCTTACGGCTGCCAAGAAATTGGTTGCTATGAGGTGGAAACAACCCGACAAGCTCCCAGCTGTATTTAAGGAGAGAGAAAGAGCACTTCATGAACCAAACTGTTCCACTGAAAGGTCCTGCTGGTGAGTCTCTTTTGTTTTTGCTGAGAAATTTATCATTAAACTATTTATTTTTCTGAACTTCATTTTTAGAATTTACTTCACTTTTTTTAACTATTGATTTTTAAATAATGTGATTTTTGTGGAATGTATGCTTAGATTGTAAATGTATTTAGTGTAAATGCTGCAATGCATTGGTATGATTTGTTTGAATAGCTTTCAACCTTTGCACACATTTTCAGCATTAGTTAAAAGTTCTTTTCTGGTTAAAACTGAAATAAAATAGAAAGTTCATCTCACATTCTTTTTATTTCAAGCAACTCCATTTATTTTGATAATGCTCATGTTGATTTAAATTCCTCATTTCAAACTTCCCTTACAGTTTAAAGGTCCCTGATCCTCTGCAACCATGATCAAATTGGTAATGTTTGATTTTGGATTACATCTCCTTTCATTCTATGTAGATTTACAAGTTCTGCATATACAGTATGTCATAATAAACTTTACATTTTGTATTTTCTCCAATAGTTAAGTGTTGCCATTGTTGCCGCATTGTTCTTGGGTAGGTTAATTATAAAAATTACATGATCATATTTGTATTTCACCCGGAATATACAAAGTCACAGTTTGTAAAAAAATTATCTTAACCTTTACCAGAAAGCCACCAGTGGATTCCAATAGGTCCAACAGATCCAGAAGATCCAGGTAAGTAATTTTTTAAACCATTCAGTGGCATAAGCATTCATTTCGGAGAGTTTTACAGCTTCCTACCCAGTCGTCCTCTCACTCGTTTATTGCTCCTTGCAGTGTGCTGGACCGACTGGTTTGACCGTGACAATCCCAGTGGCTCAGGGGACTGGGAGCTTTTGAAGGACCTGAAGAAAGAAATCCATGGAAATATCTGTGAATACCCTCTGCACATTAAGGTCGTTACCACGGACACCATGACCCCAGCCATCTCCACAGGGCAGACCTTCTATACGTAAGTTGCCTCACTGAAATAATGCAAATGATTATTTAACCACATCCCATGAATACATCGGTACTTCTGAACATTAAAAACTCCTTACAAGTCACCCATATGTGCTGCCTGGAGCTACACCTATAACAGTGAATAGAAACTCTGTACATGGACATTTAATTTACATTAGAAGACATTTGAATTGTTTGAAATGATCATTGTGGATATCTGAGATATTTAATATTAGAAACAAAGTTCCACCTGACAACAAGAACAATTATGATAATTGAAAGGGTTGTAGAGGTTTTGAACTAGCATCAATGTACTTTAATAAACTATGTTGGGTTTATATCAGAGCTAAACATGAATTATGGTTCAAGCAATATATCCAATTTAAAATACCTTTTTTTTGGTTTTAAAATTGGTTTTCTTCATATAACTATGGAACTGATTCATTTAATAATTGTTATTGTTTTTCAGCTTCCATCCGACTCAGGGATTTGTTTGCCGCAACAAGGACCAGAGTAAGGACATGTGCCGTGACTACAAAGTTAGCTTTTTGTGCCCGTGCAGGCTCGTGGAGCCGTAGTGGATTGTCCGTAGGTGTTCGGAACAGGGGGTCACAGGTTCAAACCCCACTGCAGTCAGCATGTTGTTGTGTCCCTGGGCAAGACACTTCACCCCAAATTACTCCTGTGGGGATTGTCCACAGTATTGAGTATGTAAGTCGCTTTGGATAAAAGCGTCTAACAAGTAACATGTAATGTAATCAAGCTGCGACTCCACAGCAAACATCCAACAAGAATATGAAGCTTCGATTGCTTTTAAATGTTGTCCTTTTCTCTTTACCTGTCTATTTTATATCTTACTTTGCCTGATGGAAGAAGTTCAATAGACCTTTTATTACGGCAGACATGTTGACTTGTATCAGGAACAGGACCATGAAGCCTTATCAGCTGATTAAAACTGAGCTTTATATCGGAGTATGTGTATACGCCTGTACGTTTACCAACATGTCTTCTGTGTTCAAATACCTCATGTCATGTGCTTTATCAGTTTTCTTTTCTTTTTCTAGTGATTATGAAATCATTGTCTTGTAATGTAGGAAATAAATCCACATCAAACAGCAATAAAACTGCTAATAATTAGCAAAATCCCTTTTGTCATTAAGTTATTGCTCATAACCACTCCTAAGATTGTCCTCACATGCTTACATGAAGTTGTAATTTGGAGTGAATAATGCCGAAATTTTGTCTTTTCAACATATGGTGGGAACTGATATGATATGCAGACCGTAGGAGGTGCTCAATAGCATTTTAGCAGCAATAAGGGAATGTTTAAAAAAGCATTGAATCTGAATTTAATATCAATATACATGCACTAACAAGCAACCAAGCACACATGGTTTCCCAAACTATAGCTTCCTGTCCATCTATTACTGTGTGTTTTCAGAGCAGTGTCCTCACAAACTCTCTCTGCTGACCTGAATCCCACCTCTGTCATGTTTCTCTCAGTCCAATGCTCCTGAAGGGAGCCCCCAACCCACAGAGAATCACCTGAATTTGCAGTTCTCCTCAGCTACTCAGAGCATTTGAGCATCTTTACCCTTATCGTTTTGGTTTTATGGCCAAAATATTTGCTGTTTATGTTCTTTCCAACAGCTGCAATATGAAGTTTTCCCATCAGGCCGCTGCTTTAAGAGAAAAAGTTCTCACTGAACCTGCCTGACTCAGTAAAGGAATGGTAACTGGAAGCAGAAATGTATGGAGGCAAAGTTTCCTAACCTGCTATGCAGCATACTTTTTTGACCCCACTAACCTGAACTCTGACTGTCGCATTCACCAGCATTTCTTAATCTTCTGTGCTCAAAGTATTTTTGATGAGCGGCCTCCCAGGTTTGACTGACCGCTGACCTGAAGTTGACCCTTTTTCTCTGGCTAATCAACAGACCTTTGATCAAAATCTTATATATTAGAACACCTGGAATAGGGGGGAACGGAAAGTAGCATTTCCCGGCATCAGTAAGAGTTCTAGATGAACGTATTGGGCAGTATTTCCCCTCCTTCCTTACAGTAAATATTCTAACCTGTTATTGCTATTACATTTTTAAAGAGTATACATAGGTAGTATGCAAATTATTGTTCAGGAGATCATCCTGTTTCCCCCGTAAGGTAGATTGAAGTTTCAAGGCTTTATTGTCATGTGCACAGTAGCTACAGTATAGATATGCCAATGAAAAACTTAAGTCAGGCTCCTCCAACAGGGCAACATGAATATATGTAGGACATAAAACAAATGAAATAGTGCTAGCGAATGTTTTTGAAATATACAAATAAAATAGAAGTAGAAAATTAAGCAAGAAACTTAGGATGGACCTTTTCTATTTAAATAAAAGAGCTTATAGTATAACGCTTGTTAGAGCTTCGACCTTACCTGATGTTTTCCTTATTCCATTAAAGGATAGTTATTGAAAACTCCTTCACATCTGTGCTCAATGTCTCTAAAAGTCCCATTTAAACGTATTTTATTGTTTACTATTTATTTTGGATCCTTCATCCATTTAACTCGTTACCACTTTCCAACTATTTAAATTACACATCTGGCCACAAAATGACAAGAGGTGACAAACACTCCAACCAGCTTCACATTAACCCAGTGGTTCTCAAAGTGGGGGGCGCAGACGCATGACAGGGGGGGCGCGAGAGACCAGGAGGAAAAATGGTTATTAAAAAAAAAAAAATAAATCATATTTTGAAAAATTATTGATTCGAAAATAATATGATGCAGTACAGTACTATTACGTCTGGGTCTCTGTGTTTCATTAAAGCTCGGCTCTGTGTGTGTGTGTGTGTGCGTGAGCGAGATCGAGAGAGAGAGAGAGAGAGAGAGAGAGAGAGAGAGAGCGCACCGGTACCGGAGATCGTTGATGTTAGCTTCTGGTGCTAGCGACCTACGCTAACGGATATAAGGAGTTTTTTCAACAACAAAGTGGAGGAGAGTCCTCTCCTGTCAGACTGAGAGGCTCAGTGAGCTAAAGGACTCTGAGTGTTATCTCAGTGGGTCTCAAACGTTTTGGTCACCATTAATGTAAACAATTATTTCCGAGGCACACGTTTATATGATCATTATAGTTATACAAAAATAATAGAATACATTAAAAACAGGTATGAAATACTATATGACATTAAAAAAGAATAAAGTTTAAAAGGGGAGTGATTTGTAAAATATCCATAAAGAAATAGTAAATCTGTTTACAGTTCTGTGCTGAGAGATGTAACCATAGATCTCTTAATTTTGCTCTCAACGTGCACCAGATTGATGCTTTTAACTTCAATATATTTATCTTCCACACACCACCTATAAAAATAGCACTTTACCCCTGCTTACACCTATATGCCGTGAGCTGATTATCGAGCCTTCATTGTAACAGTCGCGGGTACATTGTGCATATGCGTGGGGAGTGTTGCAGTAGAAAATTCCACTGTAGCGACCGGTACATTAATGGGAAACCCTAAATGTTTGAGCACCCTCTATGAAACGTCAAGCGACCCCACAGCACCCCCAAAATAAATCTCTGACGCAGCCACTGAGCCTGACTATTTGTGTTGGGGGGGCCCGACTTTTTTTTTTCTCCAAAGGGGGGGCCTGACAGAAAAAGTTTGAGAACCACTGCATTAACCCCAGTGTGAACTTGAACAAGAAATGTTTGGAGGGAAGTAGAAAGTAGCAGTTCCCGGCACCAGTATGAACCATAGGTATGAACGCGTCGAGCAGCATTTCCCCTCCTTTCTGACAGTGAACATTTGAACCTGTTATGGCTCTTACATTTTAAAGAGTATATGTGACCCGCTGTATCGAAATCAGTCGGAAGTTGCAACGTCTCATTTAAAAATAAACGTTGATATGCGTAAAAACGACTTGACTTAATAGTTTTTCGGAGTTCGGGTGTTTTGTTTGATTTTAAATTATCAAAGTCTTGGCTTTCAGAATATGACACTTTTATTTCCAAAATCACACGATAAATACATTTTTGAAGCTTGTAAAGGGAAGATGACAGCTCTCACTCGCACTCTGCTCTTCCGCAGCGCCGCTCCCCCTCCCTCCGGCTGAAATTATGAATGTAAGGCGTATAGTAATCATAGATAACAAGACAGGGTCTGTGACAGTTTGTTTTCATCTGATTTCAAATAAACAAAGTCTTGGCTTTCAGAATATTAAACTTGTTTTGTCAAATTCAGATGATAAATACAACTTTGAAGCTTGTAACGGCATAATTACAAGCGGAGAACGGAGTAACTTAACGTCACAGCAGGCATAACAACAGCCGGTGTTTCTCGTGAGTGTTTTCCCCGGGAAACAAACAAAATACACACAAACGCAAAAATACACAAACACACACGTACATACACACACTAGCGAGCTCCCCCCAGACCAGTAATCCAAACGAAAATATTTTCCCTCCATACTATTTTGATCAATTACTCCGCTAATAAATCAGATCGATGGATTCCAGAGAAGAGGAAACTTTGAAGGCCTTTTTCTCAAAATGATGACTCGGTGACAGTCATTATATAATGTGACATATTTAGCTTAATATTTGGAGTACAAAAACAATCCTGATACCATTAGAAAGCTGAACCTCCTCTTTCCAACAGTGTATACAACTCAAAATGTGTCTTCGGGTCAATGCGACTGGTTTTGATCGAGCAGGTCACATATATTGTAGTATTCAAATCAGTTTGTTCAGGAGAATCTATTTAAATGAAAGTGCTTATAGTTTAACGCTTGTCAGAGCTTCAACCTTTCCTGATGTTTTCCTTATTCCATTAAAGGATAGTTAATGAAAACTCCTTCACATCTGAGCTCAATGTCTCTAAAAGTCCCATTTAAACGTATTTGATTGGTTACTCGTTATTTTTGCATCCTTCATCCATTTAACACGTTACCACTTTCCAACGATTTAAATGACTTAAGATGCTTTTACCTGTATTTCCTTGTTACGTGCCAGGCAGGCTGTACTTGTGTGGTTTTCCTTCCCTCCTGTGTTTCTCTCTTCTCCCTGTCTTCTGCACAGCTAATCAGCAGCTGATCGGTATCTGCCTGTGCACCTGAGTCTGATGGCTGATTGGATCCTCTCACCCTCAGCTGGCCTATCAGCTGCCAGGGCTCACCATAAAGGAGGCACCCAGGAAGTCTTCTCTCTCTCTCACTCTGGGGGCCCTTCTCACTTCTCTTATTTTTCATTTCCTCGCTCCTCGCTCCTCGGTCTCGGTCTCACCGGAAGTTGATTTGTCTGCGCCATCTTGAGTAGCGTCCCAATGGCCTTATTTTTTGCCGGAGGAGCGAGGAGCGAGGAGCGAGGAGCGAGGAGCGAGGAGCGAGGAGCGAGGAGCGAGGAGCGATAATGGAGGAGCTATAACCGAGGAACCACCAGACCATCCTTCGATGAAATCCTCAGACACTCGCCCCGCCCCCTTACTATGTATCGCTCACTGATTGGACGAGGCAGTGCATGCACTGATCTGATGCTTCTTGACATGAGAGCAGTTTCCCAGCGGAGTGAAGAAAATACATGAACCTCACGGGAGTCACTCCTCAGTTTATACCGTGTTTTGTTTCAATTAATGTATCATTTAGTTACAAATATGTGATATATCTGAACAACAAAGTGGTCACAAATCATTTTATTCATTTTTTGGAAACATTTTCATGATCGCTTTTTTCGTTTTACATTTTCATTTGTCATTTCCATTCAGTCAGTCATTAAGTGCTATTTAAAATGTTAATTTGCTACATATCCACACAAACAAACAAAGTGTGCAATCCAATTAATGTTAATCTAACTGGGTTTTGATAGATAACATATCTCTTTTTCTTCTCTCAATTATTTTATTTCTATTGTGCACTCTAATCAATATTAATCCAACTAATGTTCGTTTATACATTTTAAGAATGGCGTTTATCTTTTTTGAGAATGAGTTCTTATTTTATTTTATTTATTTGGGTCTACAACAGATGATACAAATGTTTGTGTCTGTAAATGTGTACTAACAGAGGCGGGGGTGTGTGTGGAAATAACGGGGACAGAGCTGCTGTCAGACGATCAGCTGTGCAGCGTCATCACAAACGGACGTCGCTTC